TACGATAGAGTTATGTGTTGCTGATCTCCATATTATATATTCATCTGTATTGTGTCCAAGTTTATCATATCTATAATGCACACAAGACCAAAAATTACAAACGAGAAAATTAATTAAAATTTTCGATGCCTACTAGGAGTATTCTAGAAAAATTTGAAAATGCTTGCTTTGTATAAGTTAAAATTTTACAAGTTTAGTTAGGAGTATTCTGAATATAATTGTCGAAATTATACTTTTTTTTTTCCCAGATACACTTGTATGATTTTCCTGAAGATTCCACTTTTTTCGCTGAAAATCTGAAAGCCTTTGTATGAGTTAATTTCCGTTTGGTGCCTCGGTTTGTGGTAATACAAACTTTGAAACTAGGTACTCCAATTTCCAGAAGGTCTTTTTTACCAATTAATTTTTCGAAAGGTTCCTTATACCCAATTTTCAATCCGTCTTCCATAATGTTTATCACCCTAATAAGATCTTGATTGTTCAAATTAAATACAAACGATCTAGATTTAATGCTTTTAATTTATATTTATAAAAAATTAATAAATCTTTTCATCATCAATATGAATTATATCTATTTAATCTGAACAATCAAGTTTAATATTTATTTTAAAAACTAACAATCTAAATGTGTTACGAACAATTTCAAATTTAATATCAAAATATTTATATAAATTTTTATTTTGATAAACATAATATTAAAAATAACAATAATATTTTAACTGACATTTTTTATAAAATTTTTTTAAAAAAATGTTACAAGTTAAAAATTTTGCACCTAAAGCTTGTGGAGTAAATCTAGATAGTTAATTTGTAAACAAATTTTAATATAAATTTTGGACCATTCACTTTAACGATAAATAAATTAAAGTAAATCTAAACTGTCTCAAACAGTGATAAGCAAATTTATTTAGAATATTGTAAATTTTATAAATTTTTATTTTAATAAATATAAAAAATAAGAAAAAATTATATATAGGTCTCATAAAACAGACTTATTTATAAATAAGTCTCACAAAATTCAAAAACTATAGCCAAGTCCCTTGAGACTTGAATATAATTTAAAATTTGGGTCAAAAGAAAATAATGCCCTTGTTAGAATATATTATATCAATCAAATAATTTATAACCATTTCATAAGTAATTTATAACTATAACTTTATATATTTAATAATTAAACTGATTATGTATTATTAAATATTTACACTAATTATTTACAATTACTTCATTACCAAATTACAATTATCACTTCAATATTTTACAACTGTAACTTTATATATCTAATAGTTAAAATGTTTAAATATTTGATATAAACAGTTGACGTTGCATTTGTAAAAAGTTGAAGTGATAATTATAAATTATTAATAAAATAGTTATAAATTATTGAATTGATATAATATATTTTTAATAAGAGTATTATTGTTTATGCATCCTAATTTTAAATTACATTTACATTTCAAAAGACTTAGCTGTAATTTTTAAATTTTGTGAGACTTATATAAAAAAGTATACTCTATGAGACTTATACTTAATTTTATCAGAATATAAATTAAAAGTTTTAAAATTAGACATTCTATATCTTACTAGTCTTGATGAGCACGAATATGGTTCGCCCAATTTTTCCTATTTCCCCGTCATTTCGTGCCAAGTTTGATGGAAAGATTAACTGGGAAGACAGACTGTTGTGAAAATGAAAATTTTAAATACGACGCATTTAATGGGAGTAAAATGAAAAGTTTATTTCCTTTCTTAAACAACACTAATGATTTAACTATATTACCGTGAGATAATTAGAAGTGATTTATATAGAGGATGGTGAGAATACTATAATATTAATTATGATATTTGCTTAATTTAAAATCATTATTCAATATATACATAATTTTTATTTATTTTTACGTTTAGCTATAACTGTTATTTATAAATACTATTATGGCCTAAACAATTGTAAATAGTTTATTAAATTACATAATTTATTTTTTTCGTGAGATGATGCATGCCCCAACAAATTCTAAAAAAGAACAAGCTAATTACATTTTAATTTGTAGGGGTGAGAAATTTTAAAAAAACTGTTTATATTTCTTAATATACACAAGAATAACATATTGCAAAATAAAAATTGGTGCTTAGATTTTAATTTACCTGGGACAACCAATGACAGATTTAGAAATATCTTTTGAGGCAAAGTTTCTTCTTCGATAGATTATGGGGGGAAGAACTTAGTGGAAAGTATATTTTTTTTGCCTAATTTCAAAATTTTTTCACATATTAATCAAAGAAAGAGTACAAACTTATTCAGGAATAACACACTTTAGAATAAATTAAGTAATTATTTATATCTTTAATATGCAGGAGCAAAGCAATTTTAAAATAGAATAAATTATTATTTAAATTTTAATTTTCATAAAATAAAAAAATTTGAAATCTTGAGTGCACAAAAAAATATTTTTTTATTTGCATAATTTATTTTATTAACCAAAAATATATTATCTAAAAAATTAAAAGTAAAGATAATTTAATTGATCAGTAATTTTTTTTAGAGAAAGGAGAGGGAGAGGGAGAATAGAAACATGAAAGGGGAAAAAAGAAAGCTAGAATAAAATTTTAAATAACAATGGAGTCATGGAACTACTCATCGTCATTTAAAAATTAAAATTAATAAATAAATAAAGTACTTTTGAATCAAAGAGGAGGGGAAGAAGAAAGAAGATGATGGTGGCCAAAGTTTGAAATTTAAAATTTATTACGACGACGACGACGAAACTATGCATAGTACAAAGAAACTACTATGAGATGGATACTAAATCGTAACATACGATAATAATTGTCAAAATTGGTACATTTCATCTAATTGATTAACATTTATTGTTGATTAATGATAAAGTATATTTTCTGGTATAAAATGTTGATAAAAATATGCTTGAGTCCATTTAATTTATTTTTTCAGTGTAATTTATTTCATAAAAAACGTTTTATACCTTCAAAATCAAATTATTTAAATATTTTTATTATTATAAAAATAAAATCTCAATATGCATATCGAATAAATAAATTACTTTTATTTATCTAATTGATTGGCATAGATAAACATCAAATAGGAAAAATCAATCAATTGGAAGATATGTGTGGAGTATGGATATGGATATAGTAATAACCTCGCTTCAGCCCTCTTTTCCATAGTTTTTTGAAAAATTATTTGATTAAGAAATAAAGTATCCATAATAAGAATAACATAGTGAATTAAAATTTAAATCCTTATCAAAAGAGATCTTGTATGAGAGAAAGATAGAGACAAATGTCTTTGAGTAAAAAATTTGAGAACCATAGGAAAATTCTTAGTACTTCATTCAAAGAAAAGGATATCAAGAGAATTTCAAATAAGAAAATGCCAAAATCATTGTGTTTTTTTGCTTGCTTCCTCAAAAGAAGAATCCAAAGAAGGAGAGAAAGATTCAAAAAATAGAATTTGACATCATTGTCATCAAAGTTAAGAAGAAGATTGATGAATTTGGAGGCTATGATCTTAGATTAAAAGTGATTTGAATCTCATTCATAATAATAATAAAAAAGAAAAAGCCATCTAAGACAAACTTAAATGGTAAGGATAAGATGTAGGCGGAGTGAACTGCAAGAGTGTTAAAGGAGTCAAAGTATTCTTGAATGCATAAGAAGTCAAAGGATTCTGATGTAGAAAAGAATATTTTTTCAGACATTGTACGAGTTTAATTTTGCATCTCTGTTTCTTTTTTATTAATTTTTTGACATGTCGTATTATGGGCCATATTAGATTGCATTTCTTTTCACTCTTAGTATGTAAAATTCATTATGGACTGGAGGGAAAACATGCCTTACTTTTAGCATAGAAAATACAAAATTTTATTTTCAATTATAGTACAAAGCATTCTCATAAAAAAAATCGAGTTTTTGACTCAACTAGCTAGTTTGCCTTTATTGCTATAATTGGATGCATTAAATGCAAGTAGCATTAATTTATAGATTAAGTTGTAATAAAAAAAATTCACTGATTAAGTTGCGACACTCAAGCACTTGTAAGAATCTTTTCATGAGTATCAAGTGGAGAATAAATATCGTTATAATGTTTGTATATGTTTATGTGGTGGAAAAAATGATATTTGTATCTACCCACTCCAAAAAATAGGAAAAATATTATTACTAAAAGGACTAAAATATTTTAAAATTCCTTCGTACTTCATTGGATATAGGATTGAAATTAAATTATTATTTTTTTTCTTTGTGAATTTACCTCATTTCATTACCTCTATGATTTAAATGAGAGCATAGAACATATAATTAATTTAGGGCAAATGATAATAAAGGCTAAAAAAGAAATTACTGATAATTAGGTCTCAATAATATTTTCCAAAAAATTGAATTACATATATTAATTTAGACGGTTTTTTTATATATACAAGAATCTTAATTATAAATTGAGAGCTATGTTTAGAATTTAAATATTGTATTTATATCTTAACAAAAGAATAAATATTGTATTTATAATTGAAATTGTTGAATTTATAATTATTTAAAATTAAATTTACAATTTATTTTTTAAACAAATTTATCACAGACCTAATTATCATTAATCTTTCTTTAGAATTTAACTATCATTCCTCCTCTAATTTAACTTATCACGGAAGTTGACAATTTTCTTTTGCATAAATGGTTTTGTGCATTTTCTTTTCCCTTCATCCTTTGGGGTAATGAGGTAATTTCACAGCAGAACTTTGTTTCATTTCAGCCCCCAATCAATTTTTTTCACATCGTTTTACTCTTTAAATATAAATATGGTCCTTTTCAGCCGCTCTTTAATGATATTATCCCCAAAAGAAAAATAATAATGCGGACTCCAGTACTTACCATGAAAATAAACGTGAACGTTTATCTCTGTGTGTGTATTTTTATATTTATATCGATCGTCCTTTGTCATGTGAGTCTAGTAGTTGCGTGGGCACTTAGATTTTTCAAATTGTTAAATATTTTCTTTCATTTCCAGGAACCCCTCAAAGCATCAATTCTCTGTATTTGCTCCTTCCGTCTTGCAAGTCAACTCTCTCTCATTGGCTTCTTTCTTTTTCCGTTCTCGGTCTGCCTTTGTGCTCATGCCAGAGCAGACGCACAACCCCTTCCCTTGAAGGATTCAAGCATTCTTCTGGTAAAACTATCTCAGAAGTCAGAAGCTCTTCTTCTCCTTTCTCAGACCTTTCTTTTCTGGCTTTTGCTGCTGTTTAAAGCTTCGTGGGTCAACTTTCAGCCTACTCATGAAGTGACTTTCTGAAGATTTGTCTCTGATTCATGCTCTCAAAGCTCATCTTCAATCTCGAGCTAAAGCTTGATCCAGTATGTGAGATTTGATTCTATTTTTCCTTTGGATGCGTTTGCAAGGTCTATTTTTTTATTTGTTCTTCAATAAATTTTGTCGGTCAGATGGGGCACTGTTACACAAAGATGCCAGGTTTTTTCTTCTGGGAATCCGACTTTAATTATTTGGCTTGTACGTGATATTTGGTGTTGTTCTTGGTGACAATAAAACAGTGCCCTAATGGATTTTGTGCATTTGAGCTTCTTTAATCTGTAGAGTATACTGGTTTCGGTTTTGTAATAATTTAATTCGTTATAATAGGATTCTTGGGCTAAATTGTAATCTAGTACTGATGGATAATGCAAACGAAGCATCATCATCCTTGAGCTTTGCATCATCTTACTTATCAAATGGATCAAGTTATCCCAACATATCTGCCTGCACTAGCCATGAGCATGTGGCAAATCTTGACAACTTGAGCCTCAGTAAGTTGAGCGGAAGCCTTGAGAAGCTACTGATAGATCCTGAATATGACTATAGTGATGTTGATATTGTTGTTGAGGACAAACCTGTGGGTGTTCATAGGTGTATGTTGGCTTCACGTAGTCAGTATTTTCATGAACTTTTTAAGAAAGGAAATGATGGCTCAGTGAAGGAAGGTAAGCCAAGGTATCTCATGTCAGACCTGGTGCCTCACGGCATCGTTGGTTATGAAGCCTTCCTTGTTTTCTTGCACTATTTGTACACTGGAAAGCTGAAGGCATCACCACCAGAAGTATCAACATGTGTTGATGAAACGTGTGTACATGATGCATGCCGGCCTGCTATTAACTATGCTTTAGAGCTAATGTATGCTTCTGCCACATTTCAGATGAAAGAGCTTGTTTTACTTGTTCAGGTTAGTTGTGCATGCTTCCTGTTCTAAGCATATCAATTCACTTTCTTACTTTCTTTTTCATGTTTTTGTATTTACCATTGTGCAGAGAGGGTAACATGGGACAAATCCAGGGCAATAAATTGAAAGTCTGATATTAACAAATTACATCCTGATTGAAAAGTTCTCTAACAAAGTCACAGAGATTGAACTTTTATATCAAATAAAGCCTTGTTTTGTAGGACATGACATGATGGGTGGTTGAGAGAACAATACTTCTCTATCCTTCTAAAACAACAGCGGATGAAGCTTTCCCAAAGCTTTGCAAGGACTTATAACAGCACTTGGATATTTTGTTTTCTCAATTATGTTTGTAAGATTTGGAAATTGCTCTTAGTGACATGTTTGTTCTTTGGAACATGTTATCTTTATTGTCCAGTGGATCTAATTTGGCATGGCTATGTTTTGCTTGAAGATATGTCTGCAGTCTCATACTCTTCCAAGTTATTTTTCACTTCTTTCTCCACAGCAGTACCTTTGGATGTTTTCCTTATCTTATCATTTTTTGATGTTACTTGTGTAGCCTTTTATCTCAACTAAAGAAGCTAATCAAGTAGCTTAAACTCTTTTATTCTTTCTTATATATACTCTTCAATGTATTCGAAACAGATCTAATTGGGATATCTCTTCATTAATGCAGCGGCGTCTCCTCAATTTTGTTGAGAAGGCTCTTGTAGAAGATGTGATTCCTATTCTTATGGCAGCCTTCCATTGCCAACTGGACCAGCTTCGGTCAAACTGCATCCAAAGATTAGCAAGATCTGACCTTGAAAACACAACTTTGGATAGAGAGCTCCCACCTGAAGTTTTTGGTGAAATCAAATCACTCCGACGCAAAGATCTGACAGAATCTACTCCTGATGCAATGGAAGTGGAACCTTCAAGTGAAAAAAGTATTAGGAGGATCCTTAAAGCATTGGACTCTGATGATATTGAGCTGATGACTCTTCTTTTGAAGGAGTCTTGTGTCACACTAGATGATGCTTATGCCCTACACTATGCCTGTGCCTATTGTGATCCTAAGATTGTTAAAGAAGTTCTTAATCTTGGGTTTGCTGACATAAACCGCACAAATCCTCGAGGTTATACAGTTCTTCATGTGGCTGCAAGGCGGAAAGATCCAACAATTTTGGTGGCACTGTTGACTAAAGGGGCCTGTGTATCAAATATCACATCAGATGGACAGACGGCTGTTGCAATTTGTCGGAGGATGACAAGACCCAAGGATTATAATGAGCAATCTGTGCAGGGGAAGAAATCTAACAACGACAAGCTCTGTGTTGATCTCCTGGAGAGAGAAATGAGAAGAATTTCAATGTCTGTGAATGCAACTGTTTCACCAGAGTTAAGCGCTGATGATTTGCACATGAGACTTGATTATCTGGAAAACAGAGGTATAGCCTTCACTTATCTGTCACTTTCTTTCAAAGAAAATAGTTTTCCTTATCATTTTACTTTAGGAATATGCATCCAATATATCCACATATAGATGATACTGGCTTTTTGATAAACAATGTTGAATTATAAAAATTTTTCTGGATTGATAGTCTTATGAAGCAAATTGACACGTGTGTTTCAGTTCAAGAGAATCCTCCTTCCATGCCACTTGTCAGAGATATTTTTGCCTACTGGCCATTTCTGTTTCCTCTCCTATCACATTGAAGAGAACTAAAACCTTCATATCTTTTGTCAAATTAGTCTTTCCAGTAACCAGTATAACACGCAGACCTCTGATAGTCCTGCAACGGTGGCCTATGGGAGTGCCTCTAAGAATTTTTTCTCCCCTGAAAAAAAGTAAATTTCATGAGAATATATGGGCATGGTGAAAGTTTGATCAATTCTGAACTCTCTGTATGTATATATATATATTTTTTTCTTCTGTAGAATTTTGTACCACAAATGTGGGAATAAAAAGTGTTCTCTTTCATGTTGCAGTTGCTTTTGCTCGGCTGTTGTTTCCTGCTGAGGCTAAAGTGGCCATGGATAATGCTGAGGCAGAGTCGACACTATATGCAAACCCATCGAGGGGCTCAAGTTGCCACCTAAGAGAAGTTGATCTAAATGAAACTCCTTATATGAGAAACAGAAAACTTCAGTTAAGATTGCAATCCCTTATGAAAACAGGTATGCCGCTTTCAAGTGACTCCCCCCCCCCCCAATGGACATGACTTATTCTGTTGACACTTAACATCAAATTCTACTTGCATGTCTGCCTGGTTCTTTCCAATGACATTTCAGAAGTTTGAAAATCTTGGAATTGGGTGATGAATATTTGAGTTTAGGAGTATGTATTGATCCTTTCTTCTAGAGTAGCTCTCTCTGTCCTTGTTCCTCCCACTTTTCATACTCTATCACAAACGAACCTGAAATTTATTTCGTCAGTAAACTGAAATTTCAATTCATATGAAAAGTTTTTCATATCTTGATTATTTAATTTTACTTGTTTCTAATCATTGAGAAGAAAGAAGATTTATGATTCAAGGACCTAGGGTACCTGCCCTGCCAAAAGCTAGAGCGCATCAGTTGATTCATCTGATTCTTCATTGAGGGAGGCACAGCTAAAAATATAACTTTTTTTTAGCATAAATGTTGTGTGAAAAAGATGCTGCTACTTTTAATTTGTTTTCTCTTTAAGCTTAAACTGTTTTTCTACTTATATTTCATTTTAATTTCACTGAAGTGGTATCTGTGACTTTAGCTACTGAAAAATTTATTTGTTGTTTTATAATCTTAAAATCATGCCACAGGAAAAAAATGAATCTCTTGGTGTCTTAAGAAACTATTTACATAGGAAAATGTCCAAAAAGAATAAAGATCTAACATAAAGCCTATTCCTTTCAAGATAAAATCAGGGTCAAAACATAGAGCATCATAAGGCTGGGATAATGATAATTACAGGCTGAATGTATGCTTCTAAATTTTTTAGCTTTACAACATACTCACTGCTATTTGAAATTTTTATTAGACCCAAGATTGTCATAACACTATAAAATGTATTGAAGAAACTTTGCATCTCTTGAATGGGAGAACTTGCATTGGTGAATCCTGAATCCATGAACCAAAATTTGCCAATTTTAAACTTCTTTTTGGTGAAATTTTTAAACGTCTTTATTTATTGCTCTGTAAATGCACATGTGGGATTGAGTTTGAAGTAAATAGCAATGATGGATGACCAAAAAACGAAACAAAGATTCTGAGCGTTTTTGCTAAATTGTTTAGCTTTACAGCATGCTCATTGCTATTTGAAACTTCTTTGTTTATTGTATTATAAATGCACATATGGGATTGAGATTCTGATGCAATTAGCAATTATGGATGACCAGGAAACAAAGATTCTGGGCGTTTTTTAACTAATTCTTGAACATATTTTGACATTTTTCACAGTTGAGAATGGCCGGCGATTCTTTCCGCACTGCTCTGAGGTTCTTGATAAGTTTCTCGATGACGATATGCCGGATATTTTCTTCCTAGAGAAGGGTTCAGAACAAGAGCAGAGAATCAAGAAACAACGCTTCATGGAGCTTAAAGAGGATGTGCAGAAGGCATTTCACAAGGACATGGCTGAAAACAATGGTTCAGGTTTTTCCTCCTCTGTTTCTTCCTCATCATCCTCATCTAAGAAAGGAGGTCTCAGCAGCCAAAGAGCGAGGAAGAAGTGAAGTCCATGTATTAATTTCTAGAGTGAGACCCCAAGCTGATCATGTAGCTTTAGCTTCTCTGTATTAGTGCAAGTGTAACAACAGTACTATATTTTTGCCGCTGAACTGCTATTTTCACATAAATGAGATCCTTTACATTTGCACAGTCATAAATTAGGAGAGTTAAATAAGAACACAGGATTGCGTATATATAATACCCATCCTATCCTCTTCCTCTCTGGGATTATGACTGTAGAGGATCTCAATTCATGTTGAATTAGGGTTTTGATTGATGATGATGATTTTGGCTAGAAGGATGTACTTGAAAGTAGTTTTATGATCACTTAGCATATGTAAAATGTATCATTCCTCTAGTCATCAAGTTCATTAAGTTGATGGTTCACTTGAACTTATAAAGTAGTCATTGAGATGAACTTGACAGTTTGTGTATATTGAGTTTGTGGTTTCTGCTAAGTGGGTTAGCAATAATATGATCAAGATGTGGGTTTCTGTGTTTCATAGTTTTTTATTTGTAGCTGGTTTTGTCTGTGGTTTGATATTTCAGGTTCATAGTTCATATCAATACAAGTATTTTTTTTTAATAAATTAACTGAATCAATTGAAAATCATACTAAAAAAAGTTAAAAACAAAAATATGCATGTTAAGGGTTTGTTTGGTTTCAGTTTTTATTTTTTGTTTTTAAATTTTTTTGTAATATAATTTTTAAAATTATTTTTTAAAACAAAACAAAAGGAAAATTTATTTAGTTGTGTTAATTTAAAGACATTTTTATAATTAAAAAAGATCAGTTGATAGTAAGGGTTGTTGGTAGTTACTGGTGGTGGTTTGTGATAGTGATTAATCAAGTGATTTAGTTTTCAATAATGAAATATAATGTATTTTGAATATAAAAAAAATGAAAACAGTTTTAAAATGTTTTTTATTTTTTTTTTAAAAAAGGTAAAAATAATTTTAAAAACAATTAAATTCAAAACATTTATCCAAACAAATTTTTTCTTTTTTTGTTTTTTAAAAATGAAAAATTGCTTTTAAAAATAGAAACAAAACTAAACGTCCCGTGATCCTATTCTTTCACTATGAAATAACATTGACGTTTTAAATCAATTTCACAGAGCGTAGCACAAGCTTCCATGGAAAATAGAATTGCAAAATGTAAACTATTATTTTGAGCAAGTCATCCATACCTAGAAACTATCCTCTCATTGAAATTATCAAAAAAAAAAAAAAGGAGACTCGTTATAAGAGACTGAACAATTGCTTTTAATCATTTGTCTAGAAAAATTAATAAATACATTGGTTGATACATCAAATTTTCAATGACAATTTAAATGTTAAGATTTTTTATACTAAATGTAGAAATTTTTAATACTCTGAGACGATATGATTTAACACTAGACCGATTCCGTGCACAGCGGTTTTGAGCACATAGAAAAGTATGACAAAATTTTAAAAACAAAAGATTATAAAATTAACTTTTTTTTTACCAACAAAATTAACTTCAAATAATGAAGTTTCCTCATTATGTGCATCAAAGATTTTTTAACACACTTTTAATTTAAAGAAAAAATGAAATTATAAATCATGTTATACTGTAGATGTAATAATAACGGTAAATGTTTATAGAGTATTATTAAACTTTTGTATATCAATTGTTTTAGAAATTGTATGTTATTGAAATCATTTGGATCGCATTGAATTCATAAAATATCTTTGAAAAATAAGGTATGACGAAATTTTTGAATAGTAACTCCCGTGTGTTGCACCGATTATCATTGATACAAAAGAAAGGACAATGAATATGTAATATGAAAAATACAAAAGTAAAATTGAATAGAAGGAATTTCTTAAGTCATATAAAAATAATAATTTAAATTGATCTTATAATAAATTGAAATCAAAGAATAGTGATGTTAAAAAAAAAATAAACTATCAATTATAGCAGTTATATCTGATACAAGGATTTTTAATGTTAATTAAAGTTATTTTTTTGGAGTTTAATTGTTCCTGTAAAGAAAGTAAAAGTAAACTTGTTAATAAAACCTAATATATTTTATTGGCGTTCTCAAAAATATTAAATGACAACGAACAACCTGTGACGTAGAGATAGTTTCCTAAAATTTTGACAAAGAAAAATTTTTTTTAATATGCCATCCAAAAAAAAGAAACACGTGTTACGAAGAAAAAATTCAAACGAATATTTTTTGCGGTCATCATTCTAGCCTAGACTAAATCCGGGGTGTTGCATGCATGATCATCCATACATGAAAAACATAACTAAAGAAAATGATTACAAGGCTTTTTTTATGTCACATCAAAATAAATTTTCATTAATTTTATAATCAACAAAAGGCTTGAAATCATCAATTATAAAATTATATTTGTTAGGATAATAAATGTACAAATTTAATTATCAATTATTTTTTTTAAAAATATTAAATATTTTATAGTATAAATAATGTAAAATAAATTTTTAATTTTAAAAAATAAAACATCCAATACTCATACTTAATTTCACTTTTTTTTTGACCAAATAGTTAATTTCACTTAACAAACATTAACTTTTCATGTAAGGCCCATAAAAATTTTGACAAAAAATGACATATAGCACTTAATTTCAGCAAATAATTAATTTTTTAAGATAAATGTATAAATTTAATCATGCATTATTTTTTGAGAAACATTAGATAACCTCTGCTATCTCATGATGTAAAAAAAATTATCAATTATAAAAAATAGACTATCCAGCCTATTTCTGTTAATTTTAACCAAATGTTGTATATTTTTAAACTTATGAAATTTATAATGCATTAATTTCTTTAATTTTTTTATCTTCATTCTTAATTTTAATTTAAAAAGAAGAGGCTCAAGAAATTTTTATCTAAATATATTAATATGACGCGAATGAAATAGAAGAGGAGGAGAAAGAAGACTAGGTTCTGTGGCAATTCAAGTAAAAGATATGTTTGAATTGTGATCTATTACGCGTGAGACTTTATCGTTTAAACTATCTTATATTATGAAATTGATTGTGTAACTTAAATTGGGACTTTATTGTTATTCTTCCAAAAATGTTTCTTTTTAATTAAACATTTTTTGTTTAATTTTATCCTTCTATTCTTCTGAGTTCTGTGACAGTAGCTAGGGAGCCAAGTCAGCAGCAGATCCTCTCCCAATTTTTTTTTTCCTTTTTTTTTCCCCTTCCCCTCTTCTTATCTCTACCCTTAAGTAATAAAATTAATCATTTATATTTAATTATTATTTTATCAACAAATTTAATTAGTTTGTAAAATAATTATCACATTGAAAAATATATAAATTTAAATAATTAAAATTTGAGTTGTACAGTTGACATTTGCATATTGTTATGAAAATTTTTTATAACTTAAAATTTTTATTTATTTATTTTATTGTAGTTATAAATTAAGCATGTTAAATTTTAACAATTTAAGATTATTTATTTATTTTACTGGGAGTATTTGATTAAACTGATTGAAAGAGTTCAATCAAGTTTATATTGTAAATTGTAACTTTAAATTTAAGTTTTAAAATATACAATACTTTAAATAAATATGTAAATACATCCCAAAGTACATGTAAAGTTGCAAAATTGCCATTGATAATGTAATCACATTGAGGGTTCAGATTATTGTGGCATTTCTTGTCTAATCTAAAATTGAAAATGGGATAGGAGAGTGGAGGTAAAAATAAAAAGAAAAGAAAAAAAGAAAGAGAAAGAGAAAGAGAGCTGCGCAGGGCCACTGAGAGTAGCGCAGCGCAGAGGAAAGTCCCTTTGTTGTTTTTCCCGAATTGGAAGAACGGAAAATAGACGCCGGAAAGGTATAGGGTTTGGATCTTCGGTGTTTCTTCGATTCAGAGAAGCAAAAGAATTCGAGATTTTCTAATACGAGCTCGGGGTAATTAGTATTGACGAATCTAATTGGGTGAGTTTCTCTCACCACTAATCACTGATTCATGCTTGTTTTTCTCATTGCAAGATTATCTTCGATACGGCCCTGCGGGAGGAGGATCCTTTTTGGTTCCCTCCATCACAATGCGTCCCACATTTTCAATTCGTTTTCTTCTGCTGCGAAATCATGTGTTACTTATCGACTGAAACAAAAGCAAAGGGATGGATCGATTACAATTTCTTATCTCATGAACTCTTGTGGTCTGTCGACCAAGTTAGCTATTGATATTTCCAAAAGGGTTAATTTGAAAAACACCCATGATCCCGATTCCGTACTTAATCTTTTCCGGAACTACGGATTCTCAGATATCCAGATATCCAAAATTGTGCAGAAGCATCCAAAAGTGCTTTTGATGAAGTCTGAGAAGAGCCTCTTGCCTAAGCTAAGGTTTTTCCAGTCTATAGGGTTTTCATGTTCTCAACTCCCTGAACTCCTCGTTTCTAAACCGCTGCTCCTACTTCCGAGCCTAAAGCAATGTATAATTCCCCGATATGAGTCCCTTAAAAGTGTACTTGATGACAATCAGAAAGTCATCAAAGCATTAAGATGCCCAGCCTGGGATTTTCTCAAACTTGATGCTAGAAATGTAGATCTAAACATAAAATTTTTGAGACAACTTGGAGTGCCTCAATCTTCTGTTTCTTCTCTGGTAACCAAGTTTCCAGGCGTAGCTTTTATGGAACATGCAAAGTTTGTTGAAAATGTCCAGTTTATTAGGAAAGCAGGAATTCCAACTTTTAAAGTTTTGTTCATCCGTGCACTTTATGTGTCATCACTGACGAAGAAATCAACCTGGGAGTTCAAGCTTGATATCTTTGAAAGGTGCGGCTGGTCTAGGGACGTCACTTTTTCAGCATTCATGAAGTTTCCCTTTTGCATGCTTCTGTCAGAAACAAAATCACTAGCACAATGAAGTTTCTTGTGGACGAAATGGACATGTCATTGGATTACATAGCTAAACGCCCATTGTTACTTGGCTTTAGCTTGAAGCAAAGGATTATTCCAAGATTCTCAGTTTTAAAAATTTTGAAAAATGATGGCTTGATGAAAAGTGACATGTCCTTGTGTTCCATTGTCTCATTAAGTGAAACAAAATTTCTGGAAAAATTTGTGATTCCCTTCCAGGAAAGTGTTTCTAAGTTATTGGACATTTATAAAAGTCGTTCCTGAAGTTCAGTCCTTGGGAGTTTCTGGAAGGATATGACTGTGAGCTTTGACTCTCAACTTTTTATTATAGTTGTTCGACTGTTTTGCTTCAAATCTTAGTCTAATTTTGTTGTTTGTATTCTTTTAGCTAGGCATCAACTTGTATGATATCTATATATGTGGAGTTTATCATTCCCTTTTCTTTTTCATAACACGCAGTTCTTGTATCCTTATGCCTTTTGGTGATACTCGGAATTTTTATTGGTGTAAGATGAAATCAAGCGAGTGATCATTACCTAGTTTCCTGCTCTTTAATCAGTTTAGCTGGTCTCTTATGGTCATCATGTCATGCATTTGCATGCTTATTGGATTAGTTTGGCAAGCTATGAGGAGTGCTCATCTAAATTAGCTCTTGCTGTGAGCTAGCCTTTATGTTCCCAATATTAAGATGCATACATGAAGACCCCAGCTTTTGCTTTCAGTATCGCAATTGCTCTCCAAATTTTGGGATTTCAATATGCACTGCTTCATTTTTTTTTTTTTTTGCTCCCATAAGGATGTGATGAATCTTCCCAAGGGTAGTTCAAGGACAGCACTAAAATCATATGACTATTACTATTCTTTATACTATAGTTATCGCATTCTTTACTTATATCTACATTACTGACTTAAAACAGAAAAATAATCGAATCATACAGATGACCTCCAATCCCTCACTCCTCCTTGGCAAGGATCTTCGGTGGCTCTGAACGGAAATTGCTTGGGCTCCCCCCTTTTCTTGTGTTCTGTTTTTTGAGCCTAAAGCAATGTATACCCAACTTGATGACAATCAGAAAGTCATTAAAGCTTTAAGATGCCCAGCCTGGGATTTCTTAAACTTGATGCTAGAAAATTGAAATATAGATCCAAACATAAAACTTTTGAGAGAACTTGGATTGCTTCAATCTTCTGTTTCTTTTCTGGTAACTAGGTTGTATCTTTTGTGGATCATGTTGCAAAGTTTGTTGAAAATGGCCAATTTATTAGGAAAGCAGTACTTCCAACTTTTAAGGTTTTGTTCATCCGTGCAATTTATGTGTCATCACTAACAGAAATTAACCTGGGAGTTAAAGCTGGATATCTTTGAAAGGTGCGGCTGCTCTAGGGATGTCACTTTTTCAGCATTCAGGAAGTTTCCCTTTTGCATGCTGCTGTCAAAAGACAAAATCACAAGAACAATGAAGTTTCTTGCGGATGAAATGGGCATGTCATTGGGTTACATTGATAAATACCCATCTTTTCTTGGCTATAGCTCAAGGCAAAGGATTTTCCCCACATGTTCAGTAGTCAAAATTTTGAAAATGAGGCTTAATCAAGTATGACCAGTCCTCGTTTCTCTGACCCAGTGAGAAAAAAGTTTCTGAAGATTTTTTTTTTTTCAGCAGAGCTTTCCTTAGCTATTGGACATTTATGGAGGTCATTTACCTTTACCTTAAGGCCATGTTTGGTAGGTTGGAATTGTGAAATGAAAATGAATTGGATAAGAATTTGAATAAAATGATGTTTGCTAGATATGAATTACAATTATTGGGAATCCTGATTCCATGAAAAGAGGCTGAATTGAATTCCTTATTTAAAGATATGAATTGGGAGCAATTCTATAGAATTGTAACATTTAAGACACTTTTGCCCTCATACAAATTCCAGAAAGACAAATTTGTCCTCAAAAAAAATAAAACCCTCACCTCACTCCTGGTTCCTGATATTTTTGCTCATTATATATAAAATGTTATAATATATATATAACGTTATAATATATATATAAAATAGTATTATATATAATATTTGTATATAATTTATATATTTATAATATTTTTTGTAAAATATTTTATTGGATTTTTTATTATTTAGGAAGGGAAACTTTTGATTTTCTTGTATTTCCTTGCTACCTTTATTAAATATTTTTATTGGTACACAATTAAGTTTTTATTATGTTTTATTTTAATTTTTATATAGGGGTATTTTTATCTTTTAAGTATAATTCCATTTTCATGTCTTGCATACCAAACAAAAGTAATGCAAGGATTCCATCTAATTTTTTTAACATACTAAACATACTTTTATAATTCAATTCTATTCAATTCCAATTTTCAATTCCATCAAAAACTATTCAATCATACCAAGCAGGGCCTAAGTTCAGGATACGTGGTTTCTTGGAGGGCATGATTGCGAATTTTTTCTGCAAGCTTTACTATAGCAATTCAGTTGTTCTGCTTAATATCTCTCCGTGATTTCTTTCTCTATTATGATAGCTCAATATGAACTATTTATTAGGAAGATATGCATTAAAGGTTTTCAATACATTTCTTTTATCGTATTCCTAATTGAAGAACAGATCTTCATACATCGTCTGCGCATAACCTTTACTGCTTTTGTTCTTCTTGACATTGGAGTTGCTACCATAGTCTGATATTTGTGCGTGCGCTTGAAGAAAAGTTGCCTGCTGCAAAATTTTTGGTCATTGGAAGAGGATGTTATGTTAAAAATCTTGTGACATTGGGTTCAATTTTATCTGAAGAAAAGAGGGAGTGCAGTAAGCAATGGAACATATATAGTTTTGATGAATATACATCTTTGCTTTGGTATTAGAGAAAATATTAGTCTAGTGATCTTTCCCTAATTCCCCCAAGCTTTAACAGTTAACATAGTGTGTGCTGGCTTTTATTTTAGATCTTTGCGCATAGATTTAAGCTTTGTGTATCTGTTTTTATTATTGTCATTTTCCTTCGTTAAGTTATTAATAGACCATGTGATATTCAAATGCATTATGGAGGATTTGTGTGTAATTCTCCCAAATTATATTCTTGAGAATATACCAGCATAGTGCCTAGGTGTCCGGTTCACCATCGCATGAAAGCATTTTCTGATAGTTTTTTTTTATTTTTTTATAATTATTAAAAAAATATGCCAATCAAAATATTTTACCATTATGTGAATTCTGCACTTCCAATTTTCTTTTCTAACACTGTAGATATTTGGTTTTATGAGAACTATTGTGTTTGCATATGGGTTAAAAATTTCAAATTCCCTTTGCTAACCTAATAATACGAGATATCAAACTTAAATACTTATATCAATTTTTTTATTATATTGGAGATAATTTTGTTTGAAGTACTTCTTTTGGTGGAAATTTGAACTTTATTTACTGTTATGGGACCATTTCTTTTTGCTAACTCCAGTCCTTGTTAGTTCCTTTCCATGATTAGACTCAATTCACTTAAAGTTTTAACATAAAAGTATGTTATGTTGAAAATAATTTCCTATTAATTAGAGAAATATTAAAATTAAGAATATACCCTCTCCTGCCTTAAATATAAGGCCTTGTTAATTGATTTATGAGGTTATGAAAAGTGGTTGTGTTCGTTATCTGTTGTTGTGTGGAAAATATGTCATTTCTAGCTTAAATATCCCTTTTTAATGAGATTATTAATTAAATGTGGGAGATAAATAAAATACAAAATAATGTAAATTCATGAGAAATTTGAGAAAAATATTAAATAAAGAAAAGAAAGAAGATTAAGATGCTATATTTAGGATTAAAATAATGTTTTTAACTTAGGAGAATGACATTTAGTTATAAAGAAATCAATTAATTCAAGTTAAATTTAAATTAATTTTAGAACATTAACAAAGTCCTTGATCATTTAGTGATAAAATATCAAGTTTAATAACTCTAAAATTTGCAAAATCAGTTATCAATTTTTCCATCAAAGGATTAAGGAATTTTGTTGGCACCTTTAAAATTGGTTAAGATGTAATTTAAATTAATTGATTTCCTTTATATTTAAGTGTCATTTTTCCTATATTGAAGGTTAGAGAAACATGTAAGATCAGATAAAAATACTTAAGAGGGAGTGGAATGGGTGTGTAGTGATTTTTGACTTTTTAAAGAGTTCTTTCAAAATGTGAGTTCAAATCACAATGAATGTTGAAATGTAGTTTGAGCAAACTTGTTAAAGAATCAGTTTCAAATGTTTTAGCAAGAATAATAGAAAACTTTAAAGCAAATATAATGAAACCAATTGTTAGAACCAAGTTTTTCAGAAAGACAGATACAAACATCAGTGAACTAAAGTGCAACAAGTAGAGAGTTAAGATTAGATGGATTGCATAGATTAATTCATTTTGGCTCAACCCAATTATTTGGCCTATATCTATTCCTGAAAAATCCTTTTGATATTTTCTTATTATAATTTATAAGTTTGAATTGAATACTTATGAGTTATTTACATTCTCTTATTTTTGTATGTGAACCAATGTTGTATCTTTCAACAATAGTTTTCACTAAGAATGCAAATGTAAACTCTCTATATTTGATTTTTAACATGAGAATTCAGAGAATTAAAAATAAAACCGATTGAATATAAATCTTCTTTTATTCTTGCTCATTTGTTCTCTTCAATTGGTTTTGTTATAATAATATCTGCACAGTTAAAAAAATATTTTCTTAAGTTTTGTAATGATCAAAACAAAGTGTATCCAACACAATTGAGTACATGCTTAAAGAAAATATTTTTTTAAAAAAATAGAGGGGCACTCATAACATGAGTTTACAAATGAGATTGAACCTCAAACTAAATGAAAAGGTAATCATTATTTTCTAAATTTTAGAGTAACTTGTTTTTATTGAGAAAAATAAAAAAATGTCACTAACATTTAAATGAAGATTTAATTAAAGTTTGAAAAGAAAGAAACATTTTACTTAGGCTTTAAAAAATACTTTTGAAAATAAAACATTTTCTTTAAAAAGCAGCTTGGAATCGTCTTTCAAAACAATTACTCACAACCTTTTGGGATCCTACACAAGCCAATGCCTGCACTTTTGGTTGCAATTTCTCTAACTCCACCATTTATATTCTAAGAGATTGTGAAGAAGTAAAAGAGGTATCGACAAACTTGGTTAACCCTACAAACTTTTCACTTTTTTCTCTCTTGGTTTGCAAGACTAGATAATTTAAAATGCAAAGAATGAAGCAAAAAACTTGCAAACAGGGAAAACTCCTAGCAAAGTCTTCTCACCCACATTTGTTAGAATATTTGAAAAATTATATGTAAGAAGCTTTATTCTGAAGATGAGAAATAGCAAAATTATCTTCTTTAGCAAACAACAAATCAACAACGACATGAAGCTTCTTTCCAATTTCAACCATTTGAATAAAGGTTACACTAATTATAACGTTAATTGGAAACCACCTAAAATTGGTTGGGCTAGACTTGACATTGATGGTGCAGTTAATATTGATGGCGTTGCTACTTGTAGAGGCATAATCAATGATGACAAGGGAAATTAGATCAAAAGGTTTTTCCAAATACATTGAATATCTATCCAGCATTGCAGCTGAGCTCATAAGAATTCACAAAGGCCTTATCCTTTGCTGGAGTGAAAGGTTACCTAAAATTAATGTTCATACTAACTCGATAGAGGCATTATCTCTCATTACCTATAATTATTCTGATAGCTATCCATTATTTGACATCATCAAAAACATTAGAGAACTCACTCTGAGGGAACTGAGTGATCACTTTTGATCATATGTACAGAGAAGTGAGTAGATGCACATATCACTTAGCGCACAAGGCATTTGATGATATTTTTGTTACTACAATTTATAATGTTTCTCTACATGATTTTAGAAGCCTGCTGACTTTAAATATAACTAGATCCTAATCTTGTTGCACAATTTAGACGTGACCTTGTATTAAAAAAATATTTTTAAAATATAAAAATATACCATCAATCACTTGAATCGATGTAAGGAGGCTAATCCAACTTAACCAATACTCCCTCTCGGTCCTATTTATAAGTCATTTCTACCAACTTCATCAATACCAATACAATAAAAGTATAAGGAATAAAAGTAATAAAATTCCAAACATGTCCCTATATAACAAATCTAAAAAGTAATATCCTATTACTTTTTCTCTCTCATGAAGGGTAATTTTGGAAATGCTTTTTAAATATTACTTAAAAAGATGCATCGTGACTTATAAATGAGACCAAATACACATTCTAAAATGAAACTTATAAATGAGACCGGAGGAGTACTTTCAAGTTTGAAACTCTAAATATGCAATGGTGATAAATTTTTTGGTGAAGGTACAAAAAAAGTACTCTCAATTGCCAACTAGATTAGTCTGTATTAAAGACCTGGGATAGGGGAGCTCGCGCAATACAAAAAATTAAAATGTAAAAGATTAATTAAGAGACAAATAAGGTCTTGGGCAAAAAAAAAATAAAATTGAAGCTATAAACGACGACGTTCCTCTGGTAGTTCGATTTTCCTCTTTAATTCTTCCATTGTAACCATAGAAAGGACACCGCGCTCCAAATTTGAAAGAAGAGTTCGAGGGATTCTGCTGCATCTGTCGTGATCAGAGCTGACATCTCGCATTGTGACTTTTTCATCACCCTTCATTCAATCATTACTTCATTGATGCTTACTTTTTTCATTGCAAGATTTACTTCAATCCTCTGCAAGAAGAGGACCCATCTCGTCTCCCTCCATCACAATGCTTCTCACATTTTCAATTCCTTTTCTTCAGTTTCAAAAGTGTCTGAATCAAATCAACGAAAAGGAAAATCTGGAGAGCATGATTCATTTACTTTTTATTATCTCATAGACTCCCTGGCATGCCCTCCAAAGTAGCTATGGAAGTATCCAAACGGGTTAAACTAAAAGCCTCTGATAAACCTAACTTGGTACTTAATCTATTTAGGACTTATGGATTCTCAGATGCCCAGATCTCTAAAATTGTGGAAAAGTGTCCACGTGCCCTTTTAGCGAAGCCTGAGGCGACATTTTCGCCGAAGCTAAGCTTTTTCCTGTCTATAGGGTTTTCAAAGTCTGAATTGCCAGAGTTCATCCTATCAGATTGCAAAATCTTATTCCTGAGCTTGACGAAAACTATAATCCCCCGTTACGAGGCCCTTAAGAGCGTACTTGGTGACGATGATCACGCCAGTAGAGCTTTTAAACAATGGGATTGGCACAATAAGGATCCGACGATTTTACTTTCAAACATAGAGGTGTTGAGAGAACATGGAGTGCCTCAGTCTTCTGTCTGTCTGTCGACTAGTTACTCATTATGCAAGGGCTGCGAATATAGATCCGGCAAAGTTTATTGAACATGTCAAGTTTGCAAAGGAAATAGGAATCGAACCTTCTAAGTGAACGTTCATCCATGCAGTTTCTGTTTTAGCATTGACAAGCAAATCTACTTGGGAGTCGAAGCTGGATATCTATGAGAGGTGCGGCTTGTCCAGGGATGCCATTCTTTCAGCATTTGGGAGGTTTCCAAATTGCATGATGCTGTCGGAGGATAAAATCACAAGCACAATGAAGTTTCTTGTGGATGACATGAGTTTGTCATTGGTAGATATTGTTAATTGCCCTGTACTTCTTGGCTACAGCTTGGAGCAAAGGATTATTCCTAGATGCTCAGTTTTTAAAATTTTGAAAACTAATAGTTTGATCAAAAGGGACATATCCTTATGTTCCTTGGTAAGCTTTAGTGAAACAAAATTTCTGGAAAAATTTGTGATTCCGTTCCAGGAAAGTGTTCCTCGGCTATTGGACATTTATAAAAGTCGTTCCTGAAGTTCAGTCCTTCGGAGTTTCTGGGAGGATATAACTGTGAGCTTTGACTCTCAACATTTTATTATAATTTTTCAACCGTTTTTCTTCAAATCTTACTCTAATTTTGTTGTCTGCATTCCGTTAGTTAGGCAACAACTTGTATGATATCTATATATATGCACTTTATCATTCAATTTTCTTTATGATCGCACATTATTTGCAAAACATCACATTTTGACATTATTGCACACACTATTCACAAATCACATGACATCACCTTTTGACATTATAACACGCATTATTCACGGGACATCATTATGGCTGCCATTGTTCACGTCCTACGATCCCAATACAATTATCAAAGCAGAAGATGCCTGCTTCCTAATCTTGTTCCAAGAGAAGAGCAAACAGGCAGTACAACTACTCAGAACGGGCTGAACACACAGCATTATCTGCTATTACAACTGCCATCGTGCCTGTGGATCTGTTCTTGAATATTTTATGATTTTTGTTAATACTAGGAATTTGTTTAGTACAGGATGAAATCAGTACGAGAGGAAATTGAGCGAGGGATCATTGCCGAGTTCCTCTCTATCTAATCACCGAAGCTAGTCTCTAGTTGTGATCATGTTCTTTTCATGCTTGTTGGGTTATGTTAGCAAGCTCTGTGGAGTGCTCATGCGAATTTTCCCTTGCTATTGCTAGCCTCTATGTTCCAGTCTCTGTATTTAGTATAGTGATTTCCCTTGGGGACATAGAGGAATCTCCCTTAGGGTAGTTCGTGGACAGCACATGAAAAATTGAAAATTATGCCCAGCGGGGCTGCTGTTCCTTTTTTTTTTTTGGTTTAAAAAATTATGCAATACTCTTCAATTTTTTATTTACATCTATTTCTTTTTCCTTTTTTTGGGTAAGTTGGAGCATTAGTTACATCTATTTCTGATATCAATATACTTTTTAGTCATTTTGTAGTTGGATGTGGTGAAAATACAAGGGTCTGTTTGTCTAGATTTAGGAAGTAGGACGTTGATTCTAACTAATTAACTTCTTTTTATATGTCTAACAGTTTAGGAGTCCTTTTAGTGTTCATGATGAGAGATTGAAAACAGGAACGGTCGTAGCCTCTTTTGTTTTTCTGTCCTGCTGATTGTGTGCTTCCTAATTCTAGTTTATTCTTCCTTCCTTCTTTTTGACTGAAAACTGAAATTCATTCAAGAACTGAAAAAACGAAATACAAGAAGCAAAACAAACAAAGAAGACAGAGAGTAATAAATCATCATTCACCTCCTATCCTAAACTAAGGTAGGAAATTCAATCAATCGAAGTAGCTGATCTCTGCAAGTTTAGTATCCTTATTGTAGAGTTTTTCCTTCATTTTCTTTCTTCTTCTTGGAGAGGTAAAAAAAGGCATCACGGGTTTTATTGTTTAGTTTGGAAGCATAATAGTAGTACCATGGAGGGCATCTATAAGATCCAGTTTCTACATTTTTTCTTTCTGGGAATGAGAAAAGCCATGGCAAAAACTGTGTAAAAATAAAAATCAAGTCATGTCAGCATTCAAAAAACTAATACACCCTAAAAGTGATTCATCGAAGTGATAGTTTTGATATTAAGATTTTAGACGAATTGCTTCAAGGTTGTGATAGTTTTCTTAGTGCTAATATGACCTTTTTTCCGTACAGTTTTTGCTGTGGCTTTTTTCATTCAAAAAAATTAAAAAGAAACATCAGGATTGTTTGACATGTTAAAGTCAAGATTGTTTGCTTTCTTTCTTTTGCAAATCGAGGATTGGACAAGAATCGACAATATTCTACCATTTGTTCCTTATTATTATTACTTTATATATATATATATATATATAGTTATTGTGTTCAGATATTGAAATATTGGTGTCTTCTTGTTTGTGGTTGTTTTGGTCAAGGATTCGTCTTCACACTTATTTCTACATTTATACTCCTCCTAAAGTGAACTTGTAAGGTTACATACATTATATTCCTCAGTTCTGCTGGTTGCATTCGAGATTGGATTTGAGAGGAAGTATTTTTTTTAATTATTTGATAGATAGCAAAGTAAATTTCATAAAATGAGAGCTAGACACTATTATGTAAAAGAGCATTTCATGAAGTAACCTGATTTTTTTTTATTTTCGCTTCTTGTTTTTAAAAACTATTTTACAATAAAATTTTTAGAATTATTTTTCAAAATAAAAGAAAATGAAAATCTATTTGATTGTATTAATTTTAAAAATAATTCTAAAATTAAAAAACCGACCGCTAGTGATTATTGTCATTAGTTATTGGTGGCAGCAGCTTGTGATAGTGAGGGGTCAATATGATTAGCTTTCAGTAATCTGAAATAATATAATGTATTTTAAAATAAAATAAAATAAAATAAAAGCAGTTTTAAGATGTTTGTATTTTTTATTCTTAAAAATAAAAAATAAAAACAGTTTTAAAAATAATTAAATTTAAAATATTCTTTAAAATGAGTTTTTTATTTTTAAAAGCAGAAATGAATGAGAGAGATTTATTTTTTGTCCTTTCTCATGCCTCACTAAAAAAATAAAAAGAGCAATATCATTTTCATTTTGTATCTTAGGACGTGTTTGGTTCAATTGGGTCATATGGATCTAAGAATTAGAATCTTGATTCTGTTCCAAGGTAGGAGGCGTTTAGAATAGTGAGATTCTTAATTTCCGTATTCAAAAACTGTTTTTTTAGGCAAAAAATAAAAAAAGTGGATTTGAATATTTGTGAAATTGTTTTCATTTAAAAAAAATGAAAAATATCGTTAGGTGTTTTCATTTTTTATTTTTGTCTTCAAAGCACAGTATATTTAACTCTTGAAAATTACCATAACTCATAGTCAACAATTAGTATAAGCTGTCATCATTAGCTACAAGTTACTATTATTATTAGCCAGTTTTTTTAACTCAAATTATTTTTAAATCATCATAATAGAATATTTTTTTGTAAGAAATAATTCTTAAAATTGTATTGCAAAATTATATTTAAAAAAGAAATTAGATGTACAAACAGCCAGGTCCTGAAACTTTTTTTTTTTTTTTTGGTTCTTTCACTTTAAAGTTTTAATGAATCTGTTATGCTGGGAGGGAGGATTTGAGGGAGTGGAGGCGGAAGGAAGAGGAATTTTTTACTTGACCGCATTTTAGACTGTTTATTTTTATTTGTAGATAATTATGTACACAAAATTATTATCTTCAAATTTAATTTGTTGTCAATCAAATTATTATTGATGCAGTTGTTGTTAATCTTTTATTTTTTTACGTACAAGTATTTTTTTATTAAAAATAATTATATTAAAAAAATATGGTTAGGCATTAGATACAAGCAAATATCATATTAGAGTGTAGCTAAAATGATGGACAATCTGGCGCATGTCGTTCACATTGATATATAAATAATATTTATTTTATATAAAAATCATAATTTAATGTTTATCATACTCAGTTGGAATGAATTTAAAAATGATATATTAATATCTTTTAAAAATTGTATTTAAAACATGTTAAGTAAAAAATTTGCTTTAAAACTATAGGTCTAAAAGGAAAAGAGATTTTGAACTCTTTTTTGGTGAGATGTTTAACAAAAGTTAATTTTAATTATTAATAAATTCAAAATAACAGAAAATAATATTAAAAGTCATAAAAAGGCTAAACAAATTAAAGTAAAAGACCAAAAATTATATACAAAAAAAAATTACCAAAAATAAACAAGAACATTTTATTGGACCTTTTTTATATATTTTTTATCTTTTCTGTACTTTTTTAGGTAATTAATAATTAAAATTAACTTTCATTAATTGTAATAATTATATTACACTATTTTTAAAAATTTAAAACAATATTATATTAAAAATGAGTTTAAAATCTCATACGTTCATTAATTTATAAATTTTAAATAATTTACTTTTTTACTCTTAAAATAATTTGTGAAAAATTAGTTAATTAAATGTACTATAATGTTTACAAATGATGAAATTAAATTTAAAAAATTATAAAAAAACAGATTAAAATCATTTTATTTATAATTATAATTAAAGGGCAAAAACCAAAAGTTTTTAAAAAAATTATAAATAATAATTTTATAAGAATATTAATATCAAATTAAAATTTTTAATATTAAAATATGAGAAAGGAAATATTAAATTAAAAAATGTTAGTGTTAAAAAATATTAATTTAATATTAATATTTTTATAAATCCTTACTTATTATTTTTCCAAATTTTTTAACAAAAGATAAAAGAATATGAAAAATGAATTTTTCGGCTAAACTGAACAAGTTATAAACGCCGCCGTTCTGGCGTTTTGTTCGTCGTTTGTTGTCGTCTTCCACAGCAGTTATGAACGAAGAATTTGGGGGGCTAGTACTTTGTCATCCTGCGTGGCTGCGTCTATGCCATCTGGTGATTGTGGCTGACATCTTGCATTATGTGAGTTTTTCATCCCTCTCTATTAATTCATTCGTTCATTGATGCTTACTTTTATCATTGCAAGATTTGCTTCTCTTTCCTGCAAGAGGGAGCCAACTATTTTTCCTCCACCACAATGCTTCCCACATTTTCGATTCCTTTTCTTCAGTTTCGAAAGTGTCTGAATCAAATCAACGAAAAGGAAAATCTGGAGAGCATGATTCATTTACTTTTTATTATCTCATGGACTCCCTGGACATGCCCTCCGAAGTAGCTATCGAAGTATCCAAACGGGTTAAACTAAAAGGCTCTGATAAGCCTAACTTGGTACTTAATCTTTTAGGAATTACGGATTCTCAGATGCCCAGGTCTCTAAAATCGTGGGAAAATATCCACGCGCCCTTTTGGCTAAACCTGAGGTGACACTTTCGCCGAGGCTTAGGTATTTCCGGTCTATAGGGTTTTCAAAGCCTGAACTACCAGAACTCATCATATCAAAACGTGAAATCTTATTTCTGAGCTTGAAGAAAACTATAAGTTATACTCCTCCGTTATGAGGCCCTTAAGAGCGTACTTCATGACGATGATCA